CACATCCTTTGTTTGGTAATTTATATATTTGAAAAAGTTTGTTGATCGTAATGATCTGGGCTGGTATACATCTGGGGAGGAGAAATTGATGCATGAGGAAACAATAGCTAATAAGGTAAGTAGATAACAGGTGCCGTGTGCGAAATCCATTTCTTCAGTTTTGTTTACATTCTCATCCGTCGCCGCCACCGGAAGTCACCGGTAGATCGTTGAAAAAGTGTCAGGAGTGGTCTTTCGGACGAAGTAGGCAATCAGGTTTGGTTCAGGTTGAAGGATTAGGATATTCTTACCATACACACCAAGAAAGTTCAGCTAAATTACTAAATGAATGATCAAAACAATTAATTTTGCTCGTGAGCTTTTCGGAAGACAGTCTTACACCGCGCATGCGCAAAACATTTAGGGCTATTATTTGTTGTATCTTAGCTGAGAGACCTTTATCTCTATTTACAGCACTGTTTTTAAATATAAAAAAAGTATCAAGATCTATAAATATGCTTCTGAAATGTTAAATTCAAAGTAGGTTAATGCAAATTTAACGCTAAATTAACGACTATTCAGTCTTATAAATAAAGGCATCCATCAAGTGTTATTATAAATAAATAGAGGATATTGAATGAGTGTAGGTTTAATACTTAATTTATGGAACGAGTTAAATAAAATCATATTATGCGAGCCTCTGTCGAGCACTTATTGAACGCTCCAATTCAAACATATATAAACATATTCTTAATAATATCAAATCACTGCCGGTATTTCTGGACATTTTGTTAAATTGTGTTAAAGTTAATTCTGTATTTACGAGCTTAAAGTGTCTATAGGTCTACGTTTAATTTCTCAAACTAGAAAGCATGATAGTATATTCTTATAATTTACATTTTCCTCGAACGCGAGTTTTTTTTTATAGTGAATCAGTTCCCCCATTAATATATTTCTTGTCAGATTTGCATGATAATGTAGAATTTGTTGGCGATTTCTTGTGAAAGTTGAAACCTACGAAAAGTTTAAGCGCACCAACATCGCACCCGAAAAACATATTTTTGTATCCCATCGAACCTGGTCAATTTAATTATTTATGAATAGACGTGATACATACTAATGGACAGAATTCAGGCAACTACAGAATTATGTAAATTAAACATTAATTAGCGAAGAACCATTTTTATAGTCTTCTAGTTGGTGTTCCCGTTCCCCTACGACGCGTTGCTGTATTCAAGATACGCGCTTGATTGAAAAGCTATCTAATCAAATCACTTCATTGGTTTTTTCTCTTTAATTAAAATAATATGAAATACGGCAGTATATTATGATAATTATATAAATCTTTGTGTGTTAGAATTTATATTTAGCGGTTACTGATATTTTCACTTTAAATAAATGATTTTGATTATTTTAAATAATGGTTTACTAGTAAAATTGCCTTTTTGACACCAACTTTGTTATCATTTTGATGATAACATTTAGCTATTGATCAGTAAGTAAAAATGAATAATCAATTTTTTATAATTACCGAGTACATTTCATGCTAAATATTGTGAGACGAACCCTAAATGACGTCTATATGGGCGCCGTCATTTTGAAATGGACGTCAGGTTACAACGTAAGGCAACGGGAAACAAATATTTTTTTAACATTTTGACCATATTACTGAATTTATGAAAAAAAAAGAAGAAAAACATGCCTAGAGATATTGACGTTAGGATTAACAAGACATTAATTTAAATTATTTTACTATTATATTAAATAAAAAATGGAATATTTAAATTTGATGGGACAGACTATAGTTGTGACTTTGTCCCAACTGAAAGCCGGTGTTAATCTGCCAAAAAGCACTGGTTAGGGACTACTTGTATATGCGGCTGTTGTGAGTTCTTACTCGATTATATAGTTTACAAAGCCTTTAAAGCATCGATAAAACTATTTTGTAGTAATTATTTTTTACATACAATACTAAAATAATATCTCACATACACTAACGCCACAGATTTGATCCATATCAGTTAATACATATTTTGACAAACGGCGCCAATCCGTAAGCAGCGTAATGACGTCATCCTATGTAAACAACACATTCATAAACAGGCTAGAATAACGTTATTTCAAACAAGAACATTATGAATTAAACACTGATGTTAACACAATTCAATCTAGACTGCGACGTAAGTTTTTATTTTTGAAAACTTGATAAAATAACTTATTTTCTTATTGTTTATTTTGTTAAATAATTTCTATATCTGAACAACAATAGGGTGCAAAATCGAACAGCGTTATGCAAAAATTGGCACCGGAAGTAATCTCCGCTTGAAAAAAAATAGAGTAGATCACTTATTTTATCTTATTGGAATCGAAATAACTCCAGTTTGATTGAGTTTTGATGCGTAGTCAAGTTTTTCACATCAAAAGGATGAGTAAGTTAGATTTAGCCTTGCAATAGAGAAAAACAGAATTCAAAAAAGCAAGCGTGTTGCAAGTTTGAAGGTGTTTAGTGTATTAAGGTGCTAGGGGACGTGAGAGATGTTGCACGTATTCATTATCCCTTATGTACAGACTCAATCAAACCGAGTCTGCAATTCTCTTGTAATTTGTTGTGATTAATGATTCCGAGGGATCATTTCTTTTCCAGATTTTTATACTTCACAACAGGAGGTGTCAAGTGTTGTGTGGCAGCTGTAAATAGTTGGGGCAACTTTTTATCCCTAATGTTCATGTACAGGCTCAATCAAACCGAGTACGGGGCATACTTCACTTCAGTGTTGTTATATTTTTCTGGTCCTTCGGGATCATTGTCATTTGATGCCAGCACTATTAAATGTTGAGAATTGAGTACCGCTCAAGCCGGAACTAGGGGTCGTGAGGGATGTTGCACGTATTCATTATCCCTCATGTACAGACTCAATCAAACCGAGTCTGCAATTCTCTTGTAATTGTGTTGTGATTAATGCTTCCGAGGGATCATATCGTTTCCATTTTTTATACTTCACAACAGCAGGTGTCAAGTGCTGTGTGGCAGCTGTAAAAATATGACCCGTATTTTACTTCAGTGTTGTTATATTTTTCTGGTCCTTCGGGATCATTGATGCCAGTACTAGTAAGTGTTAAGAACAGAGTATCACTCAAGCCGGTGCTAGGGGGCGTGAGGGATGTTACACGTATTCATTATCCCTCTTGTACAGACTCAATCAAACCGAGTCTGTAATTCTCTTGTAATTTTGTTGTGATTAATGCTTCCGAGTTTTCACTTCGTTTCCAGATTTTTCTACCATCTACGTCATCTAAGCCCCATCCCCACCCTTTAATCAAAAGGGTATTTAGCTTTTTTTGATGTTGATGTTCTCGTGAAGCACAATTCACAGTTAGTATAATCAAATTAGGAATGTATATTCTTCTTTAAATGTCCATCAACCGAATTCCCTTTCTGTTTGAATGAAGTTTAAAAATCAAAGGCGTCACATTGTATTTTCATTCAGAAGCTCTTTTATTTTCACCTTTTATTGCAAATTTACAACAATAATAATATGTTTTCTATAGTCTCTTTACAACTATTATTTCTATTTTTATTTTATTAGCACAACGTTACTGTCAGTACGTTTGACAATTTAAATTTGTATTTATTTTGTAAAGATTTAATCTATGAAAGTTCATTTCAACCATGGGCTTTTTTTGCATAAAACCAATGACACTAATCCAGAGATTATGAAATGACATGCACTTTCAAAATAAAGCTATCTTGTTGACGACCTACATTTCGTTTTTTAGCAAATGACTTACAGATTTGCTAAAGTTATTACTGAATGTGCTATGCAATAATATATATAATCTAGCATCGCCTTTCCCTACAGATCAATGACAACAGTGCAAACGACTTTTATCCAAAAGCTCGATTTGATTTCATTAAGATTGAAAACTGATGAAGTGGTTTATTTCATGCTTTCCATGCAGTGTTTTTTTGTAATATATCAGATGATTATATTCTGATGAACCACTAGTGAAATTTATAAAATATAATTTTCACTGTAGCCGGACTATATCTGAATGTGGATGAAAAAAAGCATTACTAAATGGAATAACAGGCAGAAATAAATGCTGTCATGCGTAAATTTTGCTTCTTTAGGAAAAGAAAGTCGATGTCACCATACATCATGTTAAAAATATAACAAATTTAGAGAAAGTTTAACAAAACTATTATATTTCAAAATTGATGATGTGACGTCATGATGTGATGACGTCACAAAGGAAAATGCATGACGTTACGCGGCAAAATCAGTAAAAAATACTTAAAATCACTGAAAAAGCATGAAATAATAAGAAAATTTATTTGTTTTACATATAAGATTTAAATATATTTCATTCGTAAACACCAGCTATTATATTTTCAAGACTATTAAAAATATTGCATCTGGTGTTCACTTAGTGAAATTATATTTCAATCTTACTTGCAAAACAAACAAATATCCTCTATACAATGTATTAAGTTGCCCAGTTAACTGTTTCTCATGGCCAGTCACAATCCAATTCAATGTGCATTTTCATCCAATTGTTTTGTATGTTGTTTTTTTTGCATTACTCTTAACTAAAAGACCCCCTATTTTTACAGCGGCAAAGAATGAATATTTAAAGTAGAGCAGATCATTTTCTTAAGCTTTGCATGGTAAAATGGATTTCACTGAAGAAAAAAATGATAGAAACAACGAAGTTCGCTATCCTACTTTTTAATCTTTTTGATTAAAGTGCTCTTTTAAAAACTTTTCTTTGGGAATTAACTAAAAACTGCCAACATTTGCTAAAATTCTATGAGAAAGATTATATTTTTAAAGGTTTAACTATTCAAAAGTCCTACTCACTTGACTAACTCCGTGCTTCTTATTTTTATTAATAAAATTTCTATCATTTTCATATCGCAATCTTTAACTATTTTAGTTGTTATTCTATTAATAAAGTTGTTGTATTATGTTTATGATATGTTATGTGTATATAAACAAAAATCTTTTCATTAAAGATGTTTATTATAGATCTAAATAGATAATGTTCAGATACCAATGAATAAGCCTATAATTACATGATGAATGATGAAATTCAATATAATGAGTGTATTTGTTGTAGAAATTCTTGCGACAGGCTCACTGGTCGTGGTAGTAGTATCAGCAGTTTTTGCTGTAGTTTTAATAGTTCCCGTTGCTGAAGAGAGTCTGTCGCTTTGGTAGAAGTAGCGGCTGTCGATAAAGGTTTACTGGTCGTTTTCGTAGAAGTAGCGGCTGTCGATAAAGGTTTACTGGTCGATGTCGTAGAAGTAGCGGCTGTCGTTAAAGCTGTATTAGTTGCGGCACAGGTTTGGCAACATTTCGAAAAATCATTGGCGCAATGACTCTGAGTACAGTCAGTATATTCATCACCCCAAGGACAACCTGAAATAAACAATAGTCAACGAAACATAATACCATAATTTACCTATAATATCTTTTTAAACTCTATAGCAATTTTCAATAACACTAGTTTACATTTCACTTGTAAAATTTATTTACAACTTGTCGCAATCGCGGCATTAGGATGTGATAAATAGAGGATATTTGCTGAGTGTAAGTTCAATACTGAATTTATCGAACAAGTTGAATAAATACGAGTTGAATCCGAGCATATATTTTGATGTGACGATTGTAAGATCTGCTTACATGTATTTGCGTTTAGATTATGTATTGTAATCTTTTTTTTCTTCTTTTTTTTGTGAACAAGGATCTTTGCTCAAGTCCGAAAAATATAGATAAAATTAACATTTTGTTCTGTAACGTTTATTTATATTGAATGATTATACGAGAATATTTACATTACCTTAAATGAGAGGACACAAATATGGATAAATGTAATTATTTCTAATGGTAAACATTTAGTTTAATATATAGAGGATATTCAAGTTTTTTTCTGTAGAAACAGGAGTGTTATGAAAATAAAAACTTCCTCAGTTGCGGTAGCCACGAGTGAAATATGATAATTATTTTTGTGAACACGAGAATTTCATATGTCACTCGAGGCTGCGCCAACCGTGAAATACTAGTATACCTTTTGGTTCTTACTCGGTGACATATATTCAGATCTAACACTGAACTAAACAAAGGTTCTTTTCATTATATGCAAAGAAACGTTTAAACAGACATTTTAACCTAATGGTAAATGGAAAGTGTGCCAAATAATAATACAACGTGACGTCATTTACGACATCACGTCAGTAAGTTTGTTTTCCTCCCACAAGATGAAAATAAATCCTTTATTTATAGGAAAAACTTGAATTATCTGTTTATTATATACATTTTGCTCTTGTGACATTACAATTTGAAAGACTTTCCCTTGAATTTTGTATTCTGACAGAATTTAGAAAAAAACGTGTTCCAGCAAGACACCAGTGAAAAAAACGGAACATTACTTCACAGTGAAACATAATTTTTTCACAGTGAAAATATGGAAAATGAAAGACACATTTTATTTCATCAATATTTCTCAATATTTTCAAGTATATAATGAAATTTTATACAACTCGTTCAATAAATTCAGTATTAAACTTACACTTATTCAATTTGATGTTTACAATACGAATGCTGTCACAACACGTCACCTTAGTGAAGCAAGAGGTTAACTTTCTTTTAACATCAATTGGAGTTAATCCGTTTCAGCACTAATGTGATGAAACGTTGTGTCAAGTGTTTGAAACTGTTTTTAGAGATTGTGTAATCCTCATTTTTAGAAAGTTTCAAACACTATTTTTGATGAGTGAGACTAAATAAAGGATTGGAGCACTACACTAAATACCGTATTCCGGTAAATACCGGACAAGGCGCTTGAATCGTAAAATGCCAAAATCTTGCTTTTTTACGCAACGGAATGAACTTTAATAGGTCTAATTCATCTTTTCACACTGATTTATGTATGATAATGCATGAAAAATGTTAAAATCAGCGAAAAAAAACGATATTTGTCTATTTTGTGATCATGATTTCTGCAAGCGTCTAGAGGTACTGCTCCAAACCTGTATTGAGATCCATTTTTGATTGAGGAACGTTGCAATAACTTTTATAAAGACAAGTATCCTACTAATTACAGACATCTTAACATAGCTTAAAACAGTACGTTATAGAAAGGTTAAACGTAAATGCAAAATAGGAATGAGGTATAATTTGTTTTACCTGGAATATCTAATCGTATATCTTGGCATGTTTTACAGCAAACTTCAAAGTTATTTCGACACAGTTGCAATGACATTCCTACACAATATGACTTTTTATCTCCATAGTCACAATCTAAAATGAAATAGAGGATATTGAATAAGTGTAGTTTTATTCAACGAGTTCAATAAATTTAGTATTGAATCTACACGAAAATAATATTCTATTTATCACATATATAAAATAAGATCAGTAAATTGTTAAAATGAGTAATGCTTTTAATTACTCGCATATAGTGCAACGCTAACATTAGCGCGCCTTTAATAACGCTATGTTTCTATATAGTGCAAATGACGTCACGTCAAAGTGTTATTACACTTAGTGTAATATCGTTTTTATAAAATAGAGGATATTTGTTTAGTTCAGAGTAAGATCGGAATATATTTCACGGAGTGAGCACAAAAAGGTATATTTCACGAGTGGCGCAGCCACGAGTGAAATATGAACTTTTGGTGTTTACGAGGTGAAACATGTTTCGATCTTTCATTAAACTTAACAAATTTTCTTTTTATTTTATGCAAAGAAACGTTTAAAAAGACATTTTGACCTAGTACTAAATAATAATGCAACGTGACATCATTTATACGACGTCACTCATTAAGTTGGTTTCCAGTACTGTGAACGCTTGTTTTTCACTGAAACAATGTAACGGGCTCAAATATTCAAAACAGAAATATTATCAAATTGGTAATTTCACTTTTTATAACAGTGAAATCATCAGATTTTATTTCACTGATATATTTCTATAAACCAGCGAAAAGCATGTAATAAATGGCTTTATTACACTCCTGCGCCAAGGTTTATGTGATAAAGAAATTTATCAAATGCTTTTCGGTGGTTTATAAAAAATATATCAGTGAAAATTATAAAGGATATTTGTCTATTTCAGTGTAAGATCGGAATTTATTTCATGATTTCCAGTGTTTTACTGTAATATATCAGATGATTATATTCTGATAAACCACTAGTGAAATTTATAAAATATAATTTCACTGTAGCCGGATTATATCTCGAATATCATATCGAAATGGAATAACAGGCAAAAATAAATGCCGCCATATGTAAATTTTGCTTCTTTTAGAAGAGAAAGTTGATTGCATTATACATCATGTTATAAATGACAAAATCAGAGAAATTTAACAAAACTATCGGCATATTTTAAAGTTGATGATGTGACGTTATAATTGATGACGTCTTAAAGGAGAATGCGCGACGTTACGCGGCAAAATCAATAAAAAATACTTAAAACAATTAAAAAGCATAAAATAAAAAGAAAATTTATTTGTTTTACATATAATATTGAAATATATTTCATTTGTGAACACCAGCTACTCTATTTTCAATCAGTGAAATATATCGAGGATACTGAATGAGTGTAAGTTCAATAATGAATTTATTGCACGAGTTGAATAAAATTATATTATGCGAGCCTCTGGCTAGCATCATATTAATTTATTCAACGAGTGCAATGAATTCAGTAATGAACTTACGCGAATTTAATATTCTATTTATCACATACCCAAAATAAAGACCGTTTAAAGTGAAATAAGAGTCATTTTTCATTGACGCGCCAATAGTATTACATGTACGCTAACATTTAGCGCGTCTTTACACTATGTTTGTATAACGCTAATGACGTCAAGTCAAAATATATGCACAGCCGTGCAATACCATAATTACGGAGTCGCAAAATCGGCACGGGTGTGTGATAAATTTCAATCTTTCATGCAATGTATTTATTTTAAGGTACTTCTTCAGCCATTTTGTTAACAAATCTGATAAATAAATAACAATGGCGAAAGAAGTCCCTTAAAATAAATATGAGTTTTGACTCCACCCACTTTCATATTTATATTTCATATTTATTTTTTAAAAATATGAAATATATTTGACTGATATAGCACCATATTTCACGGGTAAAATTAAATAATAAGAGAATATATTTTTATTTGATTGAAATATGGAATATATTTTCACGAAACATGAAAAAATACCACATTTTTTCACGAGCCGGGACAGCGAGTGAAAATGTGTGGCACTTTATCATGTTGAGTAAAAATATATACCATATTAACGAAAAACGAAATGAAATTAGAATATAATCATCTGATATATTACAATAAAACACTGGAAAGCATGAAATAAATTCCGATAAACCACTAGTGAAATTTATAAAATATAATTTTCACTGTAGCCGGACTATATCTGAATGCGGATGAAAAGAAAATCATAACTAAATGGAATAACAGGCAAAGATAAATGCTGCCATGCATAAATTTTGCTTCTTTAGGAAAAGAAAGTCGATGCCATCATACAGTTCTGTTAAAAATGTAACAAAATTAGAGAAATTTAACATAACTATATTTCAAAATTGATGATGTGACGTCATGATGTGATGACGTCACAAAGGAGAATGCGCGACGTTACGCGGCAAAATCAGTAAAAAAATATTTAAAATCACTTAAAAAGCACGAAATAAAAAGAAAATTTATTTGTTTTACATATAAGATTGAAATATATTTTATTCGTGAACACCAGCTATTATATTTTCACTCGTGGCTACGCCACTCGTATGAACTTACAACTTCATTCATAACGGTAAAATGACGTCATCCGAAGAACGCAATTCGTTCATAAAAGGCACGCGGCAATGACGTCAATTAAAGCACGCGACTTGTCTAACATGGGGGTGTTAGAAAATGTTTCTTGGCACCGCTGTAAACGGTGGATAATCCTGTCTGACATGCATAAATATATCTTTTTTTATCTAAATAAAACAATTTTCACGATGGCACGATGGTGAAAGCGCGATGGCACGATGATGATGGCACGGTAGAGAAAACGCGATGGTACGATAGTAAAAAGGCGATGGTACGATGTTGAAAACGCGGTAGTACGATGGTGAAAGCGCAATGGTACGATGGTGAAAGCGCGATGGCACGATGATGAAAACGCGATGGTACGTTGGTGAAAGCGCGATGGTACGACAGTGAAAACGCGATGGCACGATGGTGAAAATACGATGGCACGATGGTGAAAATATGATGGTACGATGGTTAAAACGCAATGGCATGATAGGCGATGGTATAATGATGCAAACACGATGGCGCGATGGCGAAAACGCAAAAAGTACTATGATGAAAATGCGATATAGCACCGCGTTTTCAGCATCGTACTATCGCGCCATTGCGATTTCATCATCGAACCATCCCGTTTTCATCATCGTTCTATCGTGTTTTCACCATCGTACCATCGCGTCTTCACCATCGTACCATCGTGCATCGCGGGTACAGAAGAAATAAAACAATCCCTATTGTCCAAACGGAACACCGTAGATATGCAAGAAATAAATGTCGCAAGAAGTTTCTGGATATTAAACGAGCAAGTGACGTACATTTTATATAAACCTTATTTCAGTCGCACTCGTGGCCCAATTGCAAGTAATTCTGTGTAGAGCGTTATCAATTCACTGTTAAACTATGTACACTGTCCGAAGGACAGTGACATTGTGAACGAGAAATGCTTCTGTATTGATTTTATATACTGGAGGTAGGCTTTTGAACATATGAAAGGGATTTCACGAAAAGAAGCACACATGATATTTTTTTAACATTCCTTGTATGTTTAACTGTTTAAACTATAACTGCAGTGAGTTGAAACAGCAAGCCCCCAATTTCATATTTATTTTTAAATGAACATTTTGAAAATGTATTTATAAAGGTAAAATATGGTAAAGTGAATAATGAAAGTAAGTAACACATTACAAACTGCGCTTTCAGTCCCCGAAATTTACCAAAATAAGTTTCAAATATGCAAAAATAGTTCCTACGGCGTAAATGACTCAGTGAAAATATGGTGATAAAAACTGTAAAGTCAGTCATTTATCGTAAATAAATACTTCAATCTTGCACCTTTTTACCTTTCTTAAAATCTTATTACTTTATTCTCAAGTTTGATTTTTTCAAAATAATTTGGCTCATCAAAAGGATTGCAGCGCTAACAAACAGCTGAAAAGTGAGAACTGAAGATCACAAGGCATAATAAAATTGACCGATAATGGATAATGTCGCATTCCGTATTTGTGTGTGTGTGTGTGTGTTTTCTCTTCAATCTTCAATATATAGAGGATATTGAATGTGTGTAAGTTCAATACTGAATTTTGTGAGCCTCTGGCGAATAAATTCAGTAATGAACTTACACGAATTTGATATTCTGTTTATCACAGACCGTTTAAAGTGAAAAAGTCATTGACGCGCCTATAGTATAACGCTAACATTAAGTGCGTTTTTACACTAGGTTTGTTAAACCAAAAAGTCGTCACGTCAAAATATTTGCACGGCCGTGCAATACCAATTTTACAGAAGCGGCACGGGAATGTGATAATTAGGAGATATTGAATGAATGTAGGTTTAATACCAAAGTTATTGAACGTGGTGAATGCGAGCCTCTGGTGAGCATTATATTGTTTTATCGCATAAACCGCGGCGCAGGAGTGTAATAAAGCCATTTTATAACAAGAACCGGTTGAACCGGGTGATGCTCCCCGAGTAGGTTCTGGACACAGGAAAGTATTAAAAAAATGAACAAAGGGCAAAAACTCCAAAATTAGGCAAGGCGGAGTTATGTTTTTTGCACTGCACTTCTATTCAATGAGATCTATCAGATCTATCTATCTATAAAGTTTCCTGATGATATCAGAATTATGTCCCGAGTAAAATTCAAAGTGTAAAAATGAACAAAGGGCAATAACTCCAAAATTAGACCAGGCTTTGTTTAGGTTCTTTAAGCATTGCAGTTTTATCCAATTATATCTAGCTACCTACAAAGTTTCATGTTGATATCTCTAATAGTTTTAAAGTTATGTCCCGGACAAAAGTCAAAAAGTAAAAATAAACAAAAGGGCAATAACTTCAAAATAAGGCAAGGCAGTGTAATGATTCTTAAGCACTGCACTTCCACCCAATGAGACCTATCTATCTACAAAGTTTCATGTTGATATCTCTTATAATTTTAGTGTAATGTCCCGGACAAAGTTCAAAGTGTCAAAATGAACAAAGAGCAATAACTCCAAAAGT